GGGAACAGAGATAAGATAGGGTTGGAAGGAACGTGAAAGAGATGGAAATATGATGAAAGAAACCGAGTGAAAGAGAAGATCCCATACCTTCCATCCCGCTCCTTTGTCGCTTACATGTCAGTCCTGTCTTTCACCTCTGTACCAGCTCCCAATATACACACGAAGGGAAGAGGGTGAGAGGAGCTGGAGGTCATGTTCCAAGAGATACAATTAGAGGAATTAATATAAGATAGTAATATAAAATAGCTTTTCATCTTAGTTCTTCCTTCTGGTTCCTTCGTTACCTTTCCAATTCTAAAGTCGAGAGTTAACAGGAACCAGAATGAACTAGAAAGAGAAGAAAGAATTAAATTGAAAACAAAATGTAAAAGAAATAATAAAAACAAGAAAGAAAAAGGAAATTAAGAAAGGAAAAAGGGTCTTGTGTACCCGCTATTACAGAGAAGCTTGACATCTTATGGAAATAGTTTGTGATTGAAGTAAAAGAAAGGTCCTGATTTCCAGGTCTTAGAGTTAGAGGTGAGACTTAGGGACAGAGATAAAGTGACCTCACATTGTCACACCAAATGCTTTCTCTTTTACTTGTCTCTCGACTCATTCTAATCCTCTATTCTCACTCTCCAGATCCTTAACCAAGTGAAAGAGACCGAAGGGACAGGTAAAAAGGATCTGGAAAGCCATCCATCTCATCCTAACACCTCAAAGAGTGAGAGGAAAGACAAATATAATATAATCCCAAATAAACAAACAAATGAAATTAAAAAGGGAAAACAGATAACCATAAAACAAGAGATAAAGAAAGACAAATATAAATATAAAATAGAAATGTAAGAAAGAGAGAGATATCGCTTTTACAGAAAAGATTAGAATAATCAATAAAACAGAAATAAACATAATGTAAAAGAAAGATATAAAAGAAAAACCATAAAGAAAGAACAATAAATAACCAAGATAAACAATAAAACAGATATTAATAGTAAACATACAATAAACAAGAAATAGATGAAAGGGAGATGATAGATAAGTAAAAAGGCTTGTCTACATACTGTTCCTTCCTACCTTCAATGGTGACTCTCTTTCCTATCTTTTGCTTTCACTTTTCACCCGCCATTATGTCGGTTCCGAAGGAAGAGCGGGTGGTAAAGCAAAAGGATAGAGATGCAATATTAAGAAATAGACCATGAGATACAACTTACGAACGAAGAGAGGAGAAAGATGTCCATGAGCTGCCCAGAAGCCTCTATTCTTGGCTTGGCAGCGGACAGGATGGTAAGAAGAGGAAAAGATCCTACATTTGGGGCTTCTCTATAGTCTATTTCTCGTTAATAATGTTGGGTACGAAAGTAGCCCCAAAGATAAATAAGATATTAATATGAAAAAGAAAGAAGTAAAGATGAAATGATGGGAAGGTCAACCGTCGATGGTAGTGAGATGACGGTAGAAATGGACCTTCCCTCACTGTTTCTTTCCTTCTCTTAATCTATGATTTCCTCGTAAATCCGCTGTCATAATGTTAGGTAAGGAATAGATGGATTCTGAAGTTAGCGGATTTACAATAGAAACTGGGAAAGGAAAGCGACCGGGACAAGATAAGGACATGACCAACAGGAAATACAAGTCCCTTCTTCCTTACTCCTCCACGTCGTAATTCCTTGGGAACTTGAATGGTAAGGAAGGAAGAATTAATAGGTGAGTGACTAAGATACAGAGTTAACAGCATTCTATAGACACGTTCCCTTCCTATCATTAATGCCCGACAGGGAAGGCAAGGAGGAAGGTTCTCTTCCTCTAGTGCTAGCCTTTATCCCAGTCTCCATTGCATGGAAGGGAACGGTGATGAACATACCGGACACGAGCTGGTTTAACCCTTCCCAGCTGGGTAATAATAAAGGAATTGAAAGATACAAATTCTATTAATAAAAACACTAATAAAAAGATAAAAGAAATGACAGATTAATAATTAAAAATGAATGGTTATTACAGAAAGGGGCGGGACAAGCCCTGAGAGTTGGGTGCGAGAATCATGTCCTAACAGCATCTTATTTCTCTTTCCTGCCTCTTTAACTTCTCTATCTGGGATCACTGACATGCCATCCCTCACTCTCTGTTCTTCCTCTCTTCTCGTTAACTCGTGAATCAAGGGTGAACGAGGGAAAGAACTAGCCGTTAACTTCCAAGCCTTACCTCACTCCGTCTGTTCCCTATCTCTCGTGAATTATATTGGAGAAGATTCCATGGGAAGGAGAGTTAACCCTTAGAAGCGATCCGTGTGCTGGGTTAATAGCGTCCACCGGCAGTTTCTACCTCATGGTCTATCTCTTTGGGACACTAACCACCTGTCTAACCTTCCGGAAATTCCAAGGGCAGCGAAGGGATGAGGTGGACTGGCCGTCTCTTCCCATTCTCTTTCCACTTCTTTTAATTCATCTGGATCATCGACGGTGGAGAGGGTCCAAGAGAATGAATGGGAAAGCCGTGGAGCCGGGTCATGTGTGTCCCATCCCCACCGCTTGGAAGCGTCTGTAAGCTTGGGACACAAGACCCTGAGAACTTGGATGAAGAAGTCAAGCCTTTGGTAACAGCCTGGCGTTAATTGACTTCTTCCTCTCTCCCGATCGCTTCACTCTCTCACCGCCGTTCCTCCGCACCCCCTCCCATTCTATCTTTCATTGTCACCTCATTGCCTCACAGCTCCATTCTATATCCTGGAAGCTGTGGACAAAGGCAATGAGGAAATGAAAGAGAAGAATGGCATGCCTGGCCTAACCTCACTATCTAATATCTCTCCCTTATCCTTCCAGTCTTTTCTGGAGAGTAGATAGTGAGGGTTAGAAGTGAGTGAAAGGAACGGCATCTATTAATCCCTCGCACCCTTCTATTTCCCTAAGATATTACATTGGGTGCGAAGGGATGGAAGAGATGGCCTGTTCACCCTCTTTCCTCTGTTAGTAATTACATGGCTTAATGGAGGGTGAACAGGAAGGTAAAGAGAAGAGACTGACCAAGAGATAGGAAGGACTGACTAACGATGGGAGGGAACGCTATCATATCTTCCTCTTACCGTCTCACCATCTCCTCTCACTCTCTTGGATCGTGTGGGAGGAGATAAGGTGGTTAGACGGTGAGGAAGAGGATAAGGGAAGAGAGATGATGGTAAGGACCTGTCCAAAGTGAAAGACAAAGAAAAGAACAAGAGATGACAGGTCCATCATCTCATCCTATCATCTACTTCCTCATTCTTCCCTTTCCATGCATTGGGAGTTAGCATCTTTCTCTTTCTTTCTCTTTACCATCTTCTCCCAAATGCAGCAGGGAAAGGACGAAGGCACGGGAGGTCTATCTATTGGCTTCATCAGAATCCCTTTATCTGCCAATGGCCTCCCGTCCCTATCTGTTCCCTTCATCACGCTCTCATCCTTCCCTCTGTCCAGGATGTAGGCAATGATGAAGAAGGAAAGAACAGGCTATAGAGAGGCCTGTCAATGGGAAAGAATGAACCCGGCCGCGGGATGGTGTAAAAGATGGAATGAATAGAAAGGAAATGCTTCTAACCGTTCTCTCATCACCCTCCGTGCTCTTCACTCACTCATTTACAATGTAGAAAAGGTAAGGTGTAAAGAGAAAGGGAAAGATATGAAGGAAGCACCTCCCGTCTCTCTGTTAGCTCGGTTTACGTTCTTCTCCTTTGCAAAGATCGAGAGACGGGAATTGATGGAGATAGAAGTGTTGGGTGACCGAAGGAAGCCTTCCCGTTCCTCATTTCTTCGTCTCTTTGGTCACCTTTTCTATCTTCCCTTCTCTCTTTTCTTTATTATTTGTTTATTTCTTACGTCGTTATTCCTCATCCAAAATACCAGGAAAGAAAGCAATCTGTGATCCAAGAGAATTCAACAGTGGAAAAAGCATTTAAGGAACTTGGAAGGAATGGTATTAGCTAGTGAATGAAACGAGCGAGGGATCGAGAGAGAGGAATAGCATTCTCTTTTCTCTTTATCTTTTGGTTTCTTTCTTTTTTATTATTATTTGTTGACTTTATGAGAACCCTCGACTTTAGGATGAGGAAGTGTATGTGAGAGAAGAAAGACCCAATATTTCTATCCTTTTATCTCTGTCTTTAGGTCGTACCTCTCCATGCCATGCATTCATGCTTCCCAGAAGTGCTTCTCTGTGAGGTAAAAGGAACATGAAAGGAAAAGGCATGGCATGTGAGTGACGAAGGAGCGGTCACCTGTTCCCTTCATACGTGCCTTCCTCCTTACCCTCTCTCTCCGCTCGCGGCCGGAGGTTGACACGAAGGCGTGAAGGAGGAGTAGAGAGACAGGGAATGGTAAGGAAAGGAAGATAATGAATCTCTTGGACACCTTTCCGTTCCTTTCCCTTGGTCAGGCCTTTTCACTCTGTCAAGACTCATCTCTCTAACCGTGATGCCTGACCTAGGATTGGAAAGGAAGCGAGGCAAGAGCTTCCCCATATGCTGTCTCCTCTTCTCCCTCTGGTTCCTTCCCCACTCTATCCGTTCCACGTCAGTGAGGAGTGGGTATGAAGGAACTAACAGACGACAGAGGAGGGAGAAGAGCGGAGCGGAGTCACTTCGTTCGTTATCTGTCCTTGCTCTTCTCTTTCCATTACATTCCTCTCGCTTCGGAGATAGGAGGAAGCGATGAGAGGAATAGAAGTAATGGGAAAAGAGAAGGCAATGGCAAGGACACTCCATCCAACCCATCCAAACAGCGAGTGAAGAGAGCTGAGGATGGGAAGTGTAGAGATGAATGAAAGCGATGACCAGAGCTTTCCCTTCTCTTTTCCATGGTATCTTCCCCCTTGCCTTCTCGCTCCTGTCGGACCAGCCGTGAAGGCGGGGGAGATAGAAGAGCGAGGGTTGGGTGAAGATACAAGTCCTTTTTCCCTCTCATTCTGTGTCTTGAGAAGCCTGCAAACCCTTGAATCGAATGGAGATGAGATGAAGAGATAGATAAAGGGTCAGGCTTCTCCCATCTATTTCCCTGTCACTCTTTCCACTGTCCATCATTCATAATATTGACTGACTATAGACATGACCTAGAGAAGACTGGGACAGTGGGTGACAGGAATTAACCAGAAGAAAGCGAGGGCATGAAGGTGTACATTGGACCAGCCTTCGTCTGCAGGCACTATTCTCTCTCTTTCACTGCCCTCGACTTCTGGATCCTTCACGTGCGAGAGGTAGAGCCCGTGAATTAAGGCTTACCAACATGCCGCCGGCCATCTCATTCCTTCTGCCACATTCTCTTTTCCTCTGTTCTTTGTCTTTGTGGGAGCTGGGATCAACAATCTGCAAACATAAGAACCCAGCTCAGGAAGGAAGATACGTTAGGCCGTTCCCTTTCATTCATTGCTTCATTCATGGTCAGCCACTGGCCTAACTCCGTCTCTCGTCCTTTCCTTTCCCATTATCTCTTTGCTTTGTCGGGCGTTATTATCTTCCCTTCGTACCTCAGAAATAAAATGATAAAAGAAATGCCCGACAATAAAGCAAAGAAGGGAAAGGATATGATAAGAACGAAGTGTCCCTTCTCCCTCTATCTCTTCCACCTGTTCCTCCACTCACCGCCGTTGGCTCTGTATCCTATCCACTGTGGAAGAGAGATGACTGACGAAGCGAGAACCTGAGGGACGAAGGAAGAGAGCAAATGAGAGAGAAGGGAATGAAAGAGAGATAAAAGACTAGAAAGATAAATAACCATAAGATTTCTATAAAATGCCAATAATAAAGTTGTAGATTATAAAATATATGAATTTCCAAGATTCTAAAGTTTACAATAAATAATAAAAAAGCAAAAGAAATAAATAAAAGAAAAAGAATAATAAAAGATGAAAAAGGAAAGACACAAACAATATAAGATAAGCAAATAAACATAAAGAAAAGAAAAAGATAGGAAAGTTATTCCTGATCCAATAGATGACAGGTAATTCCAGGAATGAAAAGAATCTGGAAAGGATGGGATTCTTCTTGGCATAACATTAAATCCTAAGAAATGCATTGGGGAAAAGGTAAGAAGAATAGCAATAAATATTAAATTACAATGATAAAGAGAGAGTGTACATGAGGATGAAAGTAATAAATTCTTAGTACCAACAATCTTTTCTCCATTGAAGATTATTCCAGAGAAGATAGCAATTATAGCTCCTAAAGAAAGAACAAAATGAAAATGTGCTACAACATAATATGTATCATGTAATCCTAGATCCACTGCAGCATTTCCTAGAATTATTCCTGTTGACCCACCTATAGTAAACATTAATAAAAAGAGAAGAAAGAAGAAGACAGAAGTAATTCTAAGGTGTAATAAAGATGGATTGGAGAGATATGTAAAAAGCCAATTAAAGATTTTTGTACCAGTTGGTAAAGATATTAAGATTGTAACTCCTGTAAAATAAGCTCTTGTATCACTTTCTAAACCTACAGTATACATATGATGTCCCCAAACAAGACTTCCAAGAAGAGAAATAGATGACATGGCAAAGATCATTGATTGCTTAGCAAAGATTATTAACTGTAAAATCCCAGAAATTATTATGGAAATGATCCCAAATGCAGGAATTATTAAGATGTAAACTTCTGGATGTCCAAAAAACCAAAATAAATGTTGATAGAATATAGGATCTCCTCCAAATATTGGATCAAAGAAAAGTGTATTAGAATGAAGATCACCCAACATTAAAAGAAGTGTACCAGATAAGATAGGTAATGTTAATAAAAGCATGAAAGCTGTAATCAAGAAAGAGAAAGGAAATAATGGGATAGTCTTTAATATAAGATAATAAGATCTCAGATTTAGAATTGTTGTCCAAAAGTTAAGAGATGTAAGACATGAAGATATACCAGAGATTAATAATCCTAATATAAGATTTCCTGTACTTGAAGGTGATAAAGTCATAAAAGAAGTGGATAATGGTGGATATAATGTCCATCCTGTACCACCTCCAAATTCTGAGATTAAAGAAAGGATTAGGAAAAGATATGAAAGTAAAAGAATTATGATAGAAAAATTATTGACTCTAGGATATACCACTTCTGGAGATCCTTGAAAGATAGGTACAAAATAATTTCCAAATCCTCCAAACAAGCCAGGCATTACTAAAAAGAAGATCATAAGAAAGCCATGCAATGTAATGCTTATATTATAGAAGTTCTGGTTTTCTGGAGATATAATCCTATTTCCTGATGAATATAATTCTATTCTTATAAGGACTGATATTAATGTACCGGAGATTCCAAAGATGAATCCAGATAATAAATAATAGATTCCTAAGCCTTTATGATTACAATTTTTAACTAGTGAATGAAATAATATAGTAAAATAATATGACCTGGAAAGATAAAGTGGTTGATGATAAATCTTTTATTTGGCTCTCGTCTGTCCCAGCCTGCGGTCATATCTTTCTCTTTTCTATTTATTTTCATTTATTTTCTTTCCTTTTTTAATTCTCTGTCGTAATGATTATAAAGTGTATTTCTTTTATTTTTTATTTTCTTTTTCTTTTATTTTTTATTTTCTTTTTCTTTTATTTTTCTATTTAATTATTATTTATTTGGATTCTTGTTTTTGGGTATGTTCAAGACCCTTCCTGGCGGTTATATTTGATAGCGGGGATAAACGATAGAATTGAGGGAGAGAAAGGCTTGACTCCGTCCGCTATCAACTTTCATTATTTATTTTTATTATTGTTTTTTTCTTTTATTTATTGTTTTCTTTCTTCTCTTCGTCTGTAAGCACCTCTATCTCTCCCTCTGGAAATCACTTGTCACAGCTATTAATCTCATCTATATCTTCACATTGTGGCTGGACCTTCCAATGAAGGCAATCTATTTGAGGGCCTCATAAAGCCATCTTTGTTCTCCCGCCTTCGTTGGTAAGATATGGGGCCACCTGCAAACCGTGTAGATCCTCCCGCCTGTAGACGAGGTAAAGGATAGAGACAGATGAGGGCAGGTGGATGTCATGTTGGGAATGTCCTGACACAGCCCAGAGGCTGAAGAGCATGGTATCTTTTATCACCTCTTTTCCTATGGTTAGGTCTTGTGTATTTCCTATCTCTTTGTGAGTCAACTTTAGGATAATAAAGGAATGGGATGTAAGTGAGAGAAATAGATGAGTGAGAGCTCTTCCTACCTGTCGGTGGTTACCTTCATTCTATTTCTATATCTTTATCTGGATTCTAATTCTCTTGTTTGTTGGTTTTCTTTTGTTTGGTTACATTCTAGAATTATTTGTTTGCATTATATTTGTCTTTCTTAGAATTCTATCATTCCTTTTCACATCTTATCTTATCTGGATCTCCAGTGAATGAGTTTCCAAGATGAATCCAGACCGTTCGTTGCCTCTCTCACTCCTCTAATTCATTCCGTCTCTCAACCTTGTCTCCAGACGCTTTATCACTATCCTAGGTACATGATTTCCAAGAGTTAGTCAGGTGTGTGATGGAGAGGCTATGCCACAGATGAAGGTAATATGATAGCGAATTAACTCCTAAAGTGAGTGCCTATCCGTTCCAACGGTGAAAGCAAGGCCAAGATACAGGAAAGAGAGAAGGTAAGCAAAGAGTAAGAGATGGAATGTATCTCCTGTTTCCTTCTCCATTCTGTCGTACCTCACCCTCATGTACTCCTCCTCGCTTGGTGAGTCACTTCTTTCCATTCCTTTGCCAAGTGCCTGATCCATAGGTAAGAACTGGGAATGAAAGACTTCCAACACAAGCGAGGAGAGGAACAGAACTCACTATCTTACCAGGCCTTCCATTGGCCGTTACTTCTATATCTTTTCCTAATCTTTTATTCTTGGAATTCCTTCCTTGACAATTAACCTTTCTATAAAAGCAATAAATATTAAAGAGAATTATAAATGTGGGAAATGAATGTAAATAGAAAACAGATAACCGTCAATGATGGAATTCCCCATCCGTTCGTACCCACCTTTCTCTTTGTGGGTTAACTCACGTCCTAACACTAACCAAGCAATCCAGGATAGAGGTATGAATTGATGAGGAAACAGATAAAGGAAGATATAAACGAAAAGCAAGTAAAAAGAAAACCAAATATTAAATCCTCAAAATGTAGGATCTTTTCCTTTTCATCCCTATTTCCCACTCCTTCGTTCCACATCTGTTCCACTCCCTCAAACCCTTTTATCTCCTATTTACTGTTGACCATGAAATCTTGGATTGTAAGCATGAATTCCTCTTCCTCAATGCTTTTACCATTCCATCTAATCTCATTTACTTCTTTGTCTTTGCGAATCCACTTCCCGAACCAAGAGGTGAAGACCGAGAGGTGAGAAGGAAGAAATAGGCTTTCCTTTCCCATTATTTGCTTTGTTGGTGCCTTCATGAGTCAGAGGTAGAAGGTAGAGAAAGGCATGTCATGAAGGCAGGTAGGAAGTGATAAAGAGATAGGAAATGGATTTCTGGATCTTCCTTACACCGTCTTCTCGGTTCACCACCTAACCCTTCCTGTCGCTCCCGCGGCCTCAAGGCCAGGAAGGAGGATCTGTCTTCTCTCAACTCACTACCTCTCCATGCCTTGTCTCTCATGTCTTTATCTCTTCATCACATGGAAATCGAGAGACAAGGTGAACAGGTCCTACATGAGAGCGAACTCACGGTGAAGCGACCCATCTTTCTTCGTTCCTTTTCCTCCCTTCCATCCACATGCCTCCCTCAGCCTCTTTCGTTCACCGGCTGGTCAAGGGAGTTAGCATGTGGGAAGGGCAAGGAAAGATGGGAATGAAAAGGATCTGATATCTTCCTTGTCACTCACTTCGTGTCCAAGATACAGGATATAGACTCTACACCTCAGCCCTCATCTGGTGCTTGGAAGCCCAGGGGCTGTGAAAGGGAGGAAGATAACCAGCTGGAAGCGAGATAACGAGCGAGAAATAGACTTCCAACTCACCCCTCCGGTTCTCGTCCTCAGGTCAGAGGCATTACATTGTGGGACAGTCTGTAGACACGTAAGAACGAAGGAAATGAGAGATGAAGTGATGGAGGGAATAGAAATGTTGAATGAAGAACTGTCACTCCACACGTCCACCTCACCCGTTGGTTCGTTTCCCTTGTGTCTTTTCCTTTTACTTCCATCACAGTCTTTCATTGCTATTCCTCTCTTTCATGTAGTTAGTGAGTGTTAGGTTTGTAGGTTATGTCCTAGGGTTTGACCGCAGGCTGGAGTGAAGTGGAAAGAGAAGACTGGAAGAGCCTGGCGGGCGATGGAAGGATGAAGATGGCATATTTCTTCTTTCTCTTTTCCTTTTTACCTTTTACCTCTATCTTTTTCATCTTCTTTTTACCTTAGGATCTCATCCTTTTCTAAAACCCTTTAATTGAGGTTATTTGAGGAGGTAAAAGGTAAGGTAAAATAGAAATCTAAGATAATAAAACCAAATATAGAAAAGAAAAGGAAATAAGATAGCATTCTATCTGTGATTCACGCCATTCGTTTCCTCATGTCTATTCCCTGGGACAGGTGTGTGCTCTTCCCCATATAACTCCCGAACGAAGGAGGGGGAAGATGCGAGAATAAAATAGAAATGCTGGCCACTAATCCAAGAAATGAAAGGCCAGGAACTTCTATCTTCTACTGTAGGACCTTATCCCTTTCCTAATGTAGCATTCTATAGACAAAGTGACGGGATCCTGTCCCTAAGTCACGTGAATTCTAAGGAATGAGAAGATAGTGAATGGGAAGATACATGAGTCAGCTATTTACTTTCCTATCGTTTCATTCATCCTATTCACTCACTTAGAGAAGATAACTCCCAAATGCTGAATCCAGAGAACGAAGATAAAGAAACCATAAAATAAATAGAAAAAGAAGAAGAACAATAATAAAAGAAACTGGAAATTAAGAGACAGAGATAGCCTCAACCGATGGTGGTGGAAGCCTGTGGCTCTAGAAAGTGGAAAAGCGATGATAAAAGCTGTCTTCATTCTCTACTTCTTTCCAAACCCTCTAATCTCAGAGATTAACTACCCACGAATGAAAAGGAAATAATAGATTCCCAAGTGAAGGGATGCTACATGAGGATGGATTTCCCTATCTGGTCCATACCCTACCTTTCCTTTCATGGCTTTCCAGATTCCTTTACTTTCATCTCTTTACCAGCCAATTGTAGCTCCTGGAAAGCCTTGAATGAAGTGTAATTCCCTTTTCCTTTGTTATTGCGACCGAAGGCGATGAACGGGTGAAGAGCCGGGAGTTAATCTCTGATATCCATTCCCTTCCTTTCTATTTATTGTTCACACGTGACTCCGCTCTATAGCTCGTGAACGAAGGGTGAACAGGAAGAGCGTGAGAGACACAGTCCGGAGTCACTTTGTTGGTGAGTGAAATCCACGAGCTTACATCTTCCCGCAGCCAAAGGGCGAGGATGGACCTCTCTCTACATTCTATCTCCTGTGTGTTGGTGACCATGGGATATCACGTAAGGAATGTGAGATAGTGAAAGATGAGCTTCTCTGCGGTCACCAACCCATCCTCCTCCGTCGGTGGTTAAGAACGAGAGAGAACGAGGACTTCCCACCGGCTCATCTCTTCTCCGTTGGGTCACAATGTCACTCACTTGTCTGTCACTCCCTCCGCCATCTCTTGTCAGGTTAATTCCTGGAGATGTGAGGGAGAAAGAAGTGAGTGACCAATAGACGGACTGGAAGGTCCTAGAGTGAGAGATGAGGGTACGAGAGAAGCGAGGTTAACCTCTAGAAGCATTCCATTCCTTTCGTACCTCACATTGTAGTTACAGGAATTAACATGGAAAAGAGAAGGTACGAAAGGATGAGGAAAAAGGTAGGTGAAAAGCCGTGAAATGCATTCTAGAGAAGCAAAAGGAAAGAGATAAAGGACGGCTTTTCCCATTTCTCTCTTCCATACCTTCCTTTCCGGGCTCTTTTCTTCTTTATCTTTGTGGATCACCGAAGGTACAGGAAATATATTGTGGAAGAGCCCGGATGAAGGAAAAGACAATGAATGCATGGCTCGCCTCAGCGGCTGGAATGTAAGTGATAGAGAGATAAAAGAGACTTCCCTTTCCCTCGTGTCCGTTCACTCGGTTCTTGGACCAGCCGCAGCATGTAGGAGGCGATGCCATGGAAGGAATAACGACATGAGAGAAAGGAATGGAGTTGATGGGATGGAACGGTCATTCTTCCCTCTCTCCTCTCTCCTTTCGGAGCCATCCACATACACACTCTCTCTCCGGTCCCTTTCTCTTTTATTGTTTGGTTTCGTTGCGAATCCATCATCCAAGACGGACCGGATGGTAGGTAAAAGGTATGACACACGGTTTAACCGGTGAAGGAGATAGAAGATCCAGATAAAAGAAGTCTATTTACCTCGTCCATTCTCTCCTCGCATCCCCTTCCTTGACCGTGAGGTGTCCGAGAGAAGCGAGGAGAGGCCTCTCTATTCTCTCTCCCCCCCGATCGACGGTCGGAGATTGGATGAGGGATGAGGGACACACACTCTCCATTCCCTGTAACTCCCTGTCCTGGCTTCTTTGTCACTAGGTAATTCCACAGCCAGGAGTTACAGGTAGGGGATGGAGGAGAGAGAGTGTGTGAAGAGACGAGGATGAAAGACGAGGAAAGGAACAGATATTAGGCCGTCTCTCGGCTAGCCTCATTCCTTAGAAAATAGAATGTAAAGAGTTGGAAGGATGGATAAGGCTAGCCATGAAGGCGGCATAACGTAGGTGATAGAGGATGGGTTACAGGATGAACAGATGGGACCAAAGGGAACCAGAGGACGTAGAAAAGGATAATGGTCAACTTCTTGGTGACACGTCCTCCGTCAATTACAGAGAAGACTGTAAGGAAGAAGAATGGTGTAAGAGATAAAGCATTTGGTAAGGGTTAGGAATCTGTGAGAGCCTTCCGTGTCCTAGAGATGAGTGGGTACGACAGGGAAGAGTAACCACGAGACGAAGAGATAGAATGTAGCTATTAACTTCTCTAACCTCAACAAACCACAAATGAATTACACCAGAAATAAAAAGACAAGAACCCAGAGAATTAGAGATGGAAAGAGATGTAGAATGGAGGCTTCACCTCTTGGTCTTTCACTTGTTTGTTTGTCTTCTTACCTTCGTACCTTCCCTTTCTATTTATCTCGTTCCTTTTACATCCATTCAAGTTCCTGATCCAACGGTGAAGAAGGATGAGATAAAAGTAAATAATAAAAATGAAAGGAAAAGGAATAGATGATACACGGCACAGAAAGGGCCGGATCTATAGGTGATCTTCTTTCTTCACGTAATATCTCCCAATTATACCTTTAGGACGTACCTTCGTCTCACCATGTAATATCCCTTCATTTGGATCCTAGAGAAGACTGGGATAAGACCCTGGCATGCCATTGGTGGCTTTTATTGCCTTCTTTCTCTTCTTTTCTTTTACCTTTCACTTTAGGATTTCCAATGCATGCCACGTACTAACCAACGAGGGAGCGAGTCCAGAGAATTATAGATGTGGATCCCAAATCCTTTAAGATGAGATAGTAAGGCCTCTCTTTCCATTACATTATGCCCTCAGGCCCTACCTGGCATTGTGACGGAGGAAGCACTCAAAGATCTGTCACCCCGCTCCTTTCTCTTTCCCGCGGCCTTATCTACATCCCTCTGGATCTTATCTTAGCCTTATCTGTGACCCTTGAATTACAGACCGTAGAATCCTGGAGATTGGATGACAACGAAAAGCAAATAAGAATACAAATAATTTAGAATTGTAAATGAAGGATAGAGAAGTGTGTGGCCTGCCATCTCCACCCTGTCGCTGCCGCAGCCCAAAGGCTCTCAACTTATCTCTTCTCCATTCTGTCGTTACCATTCATTCACCTTTTCTACATTCCAGTCCGTTCTCATTCTATAGACACAGGAAGTACAGACTGGAATGAAGGTAAACAGATTGAGTGAAGATAGATCCAGAATGAAGAGATGCAGTGAGAAGAGACTTCCAGAGCTCACGTGTAGACAAGGGAAAGAACAGCTTCTGGACATCTCTTTACCTCCGGTCTAATGCATTCTCCTTCCCTGTAATTCTAGAATGTAGATAATGATAAATAAATAGAAAAGAAAAGAGATTAGGAAAGGTGAAAGAGATCCAGATTAATAGCAAAGAGAGAGAGGAATTAGCTGGTACACACCATCCGGTGGAGAGATGTGGAATGAAAGCTTCTCTATTCCTCACGGTTATTCCTTACCTGGTCTTTATCTGTGGATCTTAGAAGCATTTTATCTTTCCCATATCTTCTTTCTTTATTGTCCAAAATTATGTCGTAAAAACTAAGAAGTAAAGAGATATGACTTTCCTATAGTCGAGAGAAGCACTATTTCACATTGTAAATCCTTAAAATGGAGAAGTAATTAATAAGAATGGGATGTGAGGCAGTTAATAGTAAGGAATGGAAATAATAGATTTATAATTGACTCCAGAAATTCCAGATCTTTCCATGCATTACACCACCCGGTCAGGGCTATCTTCTCCTGTTTGTCGTTATCATCATTCTTCCACCATTATCCTTCCTTGGAATTACCTCGTCAGTGAGGAGTAGATACGACGGAGAGAAGAAGGATGTGTAAGTGAATGAAAAGAGACGGCTGTAAGCCAAGATCCAGATGAAGAGAACAAGTGATAGGAAAAGAGACAATTAGAGAGATAAAAGGGACATGTTACCTCTTCCTCCTCGTCTCTTCACCAGTTGGACGAGGTAGAGGGATGATGGTGACCTAATGACCAAGAAACCCAAGGAAAGAGAGTTGTAGGGAAGGAACAAGCCATAGAATCCTCTCATCGTTTCCTTCATACTAACTCCCTTCCCTGCAATGTAATGACTCACTGTGGCAGGAGCTTCCCGTAAATCCCAATGCATAGAATGGGTGATGAATGCAGGCTCATCTATATGCCATGACAGGTAAGGAATAGTCACTTCCTTTCACTTTAATCCCATCCTTTTACC